TCTACTAAGTGATTGGTATTGATCACGGTTAAGAGGCGTTAGCCCAGTGTTCGATTAGTGTATCTAAGTGATGGTTGCTGATCGATGTGGAAATTGGAAATCAGCCGGCAGACACACATTGCTGTTTGTGCGGCGTATATCTTTGTTTGCAGCATTTTTTGATCGTTTTATCATTGACAGTGATTTTTTTTTTTTCACTTTGGTTCCACTCGTTTACTTCAATTCACTTCTCAGCTTTTTTTTTTTTGTATAAATTTTTTCAATTTTTTTTCTATCGACATTGGTATGTTGTTGTTCGATGGTTTTCACTCTTTCTTTGTTCTGTTTTTGTTTATACATTTTTCTGTTTTTTTTGCTTTCCCTTCCCCCTACCCCCCTCCCCTTTACCTATTAATATATTTTTGAATTAAGATGTAAAAAAAAAAAATTTCTGCACTGGTACTGCATCAAAGTTACATAACAGTACTTTATTTATTATCACTATTATTGTTAATTTTTATTTTTCACCCGTTAACCAATTCATCCGTCAACTATTTTATTTTGTATTTCTAAAACATATGATAGTGATGCTGAAGTACCACCGCTGTTGTCTTCTTGTCTTGTTCTGCCTTGTTGATGATGCTATATAACAAGTTTACATTATTCAAGGAGGCAAATATGAAAAGTACAGGGCAGTGGAACAAAGAAAGCAATGAAGACTACTTGGACAGGTTTTTTTAGCTTTAAACTTGGGATAATAGCTGATGAAATTCTTGCAGTGCTAGAAGTTGTGTCACTTGGAATAAGTTTTCAGATTTATTTGCCACTATTAGTACCATCATTGGTGGCCACCGCTAACTAGTCGACAACCATCAGAAGCCTTTAAACGACTTTATCAGCTGACTTGAATATACCGGAAGAAAAAAAAAAAAGGCACATAAATATCGGAGGTCTTTTGCAAAGCGCTTAAAATGGATTAAAATGTTGTTTTTGCTTTTCCTGTTGTTGTTCTTGCTGTTCTTGCTCTTGTTAGGTGATGCTGGCGGTGATGGCTTCAGCGAAAAATGTTTTGTTTTCCAGTAAATTTGTTCTGAAAAAATTGCTGATTAGGGTGACTGATGAGCTTTGCAAAGAGAAGAAAAAAAAAAATTTGTGAATTTTGAAATAGCCGCATCAGCAACGGCAGATTAACATTTCAGCAATTCAAACTTATTTTATACAGCATACAACATCATTTTTTTTTTTTTTTTGCTTCTATGTTTCATAAGTTGCGAAAGAAATGAAACAATGAGGCAAAAGAATTCATCCTTCTACTTTTCTGGTCTTCTTAGGGCCCTTTACTGTTTCTTTTTCTCTTCTACTTTATTCATTTTTTTTTCTTTTTTTTTTTTTTCTGTCAAAACAATGATGGCTAAGTAAATAAAGTTGGATGCAGTTACAATTGCTATGCTAACAAATAAGAGCAAAAAAAAAAAATACTCGTCACTAGATCAGACTTATTCTGTTGCAGTTTTTCTTCGGACACTCTACGCGAGATTAGACAGCATAGGGCGAGGTGTGGTTTGTTGGATAACGGGTTGAACAACGGAGTTGTTACGGACAGCGGGGGAAAAAGCAGGCGTAACGGCTACGATTGGAATAGGTTATTGGAAGGGGGGCAGGAGAGGGGAGGGGAAAGGGACCGAGGACGGCTGAAGGAAATGAAACGGATTCAGTGGAAGGAAAAAAGGGAAGAACAAAAATAAAAATAGTGAAAATTTTCATACTGAATAAATATTTACTTTCGATAATGTTTACACAATTATCGCCTTTTCTTTTCTGAAGGAAAAAAAAGAATTCTTTTTT